ACGAGCAGGGACGATCACCACCGTCCCCTATAATCGCGGGGTGCCACGACGGCCACGTCGCGGCCACGCGTCAAACCACGGGTGATTGTTTTTGCGCGGGAAAAACCCGCGCCAAATATAAATAGTCGGCGACGTCCACGCGGCGAACAACGACGAGCTAGAGGACGTACAGGTGTCGAGCAAGTACGGATCCAGATATCGCGGGAATCAAAATCCCGCCTTGTTAAGGAACGTCGGGGTCGCCCACAGATCCAACACCCAGGGAATGTCGGCGTCGATCAACGGGATGACACGCTGTACTGCACACGTCGATAAGGGATGCGCGGGAAAGCAGGCCGATACGGAATTTCAGGGTTGTTGAACAAGTGATTGGACGAGACCACGTGGCGCGCGCGCAATCCACCGTGGAATGGCCCCGGCGGGGAGGTTATTGAGTGCAAAGCGGCGTGACTCTAAACATGCACAGACGTTGGCACGTCAGACACATGCATAGCGGCGCACGCAAAGAGGGCTGCGTGGAGCGCGTCAGGTGCGGAGTCGCTCGCAACCATACCCCTCCTTGACCGGGCGCAAGGTCCCCATTCTGCCAGTCTGTTTTTGTTCTTTCCCTCGTTGTGCATGCGCTCTCTGGCACTTAGTTTTTCTTACGCGACCCACACCATCTTCACGGCTGTATGTTTCTCGGTGCCGACCATACGATTGCGTCGGTACAAATCGAGTCGACCAGGTTGAGACGAAGCAGGTCGGTGTTTAGTTAGGCTCATTCGGTCGTCGACGTCGCCGTGGGAGGTTTTAGGGATTTAGCTCGTAAAGTCGGCATAGTATCAACAGCTCTACCGACCAGCCAAGGCGGGTTTACAGAACCTAACTGAGTCGGCGACGCATGGCCAGAGGACGGCCTAGTGCCCAACAGCCGCAACCCATCCCACCCCCTGCCGATTCTGTAGACGCCGACATCAAAGCGCAGCTGGAACGACTCGAGCTCGCCGCTGAGCTAGAAGCACTCGAGAGAGAATTCGACGAAGACGACCGCGCGACGCATAGGGCGTACACCGCACCCGTGATTCAATACCGTCTCTGGTGGTCCGACCTTTACCTCGCACACGGCCGAAGGTAGAGCAACATACGAGCGGACATGGCCGACGTCGACATGTGCGATGTCGGCGCCCCAACCGACCACAATCCGTGCTCTGCCCCCGAAGAGACGCTGAAGTTGCTATACGATCTTGACAAACTGGCGCAGATTCCCGAAGGGGAGTACACAAAGGACATACCGAAACCGCCGATAGGGGAGTTTACGAAGAAGTCGACCCCGAGGCCGGATGGGCAGCCTGGAACTTTGTCGGTGCCGGCCGGCGCGGAAAACGAAGGTGACGACGACGAGGAAGAGAGCGACGACGAATTCGACGAGCGTCCTCCGCGTAGCACGAATCCGCGCACCTTGGAAGAACGCCTTAGGCGTGAGTATGAATACATACATGACATGCTCGAACAGGACGAGGACGAGGACGAGCAGAACATGGCGGTGCCACGCAAACAGTGGGAGTCGGCAGACTTCGTAGTGGACGACATGGTGTACTCCAGCATCGACGTGCTCGTCATGGACGCCCTACGCCACCTACAAACCTTGGAGAAAAATAGCACGCTCAGGCTGTACACCTCGTTCATCTACCACTACAAGAAGTGGGCGGCTAGGATGCTGAAGCTGATACACGACAAGCTACCCCATGAGCACCGACTTAGGCACGTCGACGAGATCGGCCACTACATCCGCGCCAACAAGAAAAAGGATTGGTGCAACGAGGCCGAGGTCCCCCGACGGTACATCTGGCTGCACGGCCCTAGAGTCACCGAAACCCGCCTGCGCGCGTACGTGAAGCAAATGAGCCGTGAGTGTAACCTCATTGTTGACCATACCGAGAAGGGGAACGAGGCCACGGCGGTGGGATCGACAACGGTGCACACGATCCTCGGGCGCATAAAGGCATGCCAGATGGCGGCGAGGGTGGAGGCAACGCTGTACCGGGAGAAGGAGCTGGGCATCATGAGGGAGATCTCGGTGGTCAGATCGGAGGTTCGGTTCAACGTCCGCACCAAAAACGAGAGGGACCTCAAGTAAGTTGGTCGACACCGCCACCCTCAGTCCTCGTCAAGCTGAAGTCGACGCCGCACCAACTAACTATACCGTGTGGCGTTGTGTTCAGGAATTGCGCCGACCGTCGACGCGGCACCATCGGCGATACCTACACCGCCGAACAGTTCCGCCAGATCATGATGAAGGTGCTGCCGACATGGGCGGCGGCGGCGTGGAACTCGCGGGCAACCACTCTGTCGCAGACGCTGTGGAGATTCCTGCTCGTCAAGGTGCTCACGCTACTCTCCCACCACTCTCTCCTGCGCGGCGCCAGCATCCGCGAGATCACGCTCCCCGACGTCTTCTTGTTCCAACTGGCGAGCACCTCGTCGGTGAACCCGGATAGCCAGCCTGTCGTCATGGTTATCGCCGCGCGTAACTCGAAGACTTCCAAGGATGCCCGTCTTCAGCAGAGCTACGCGGCGCGACACCTGGAAGCAGAGTTGTGCGCCGTCGGCGAGACCGGCCTGTGGTTGCACTTCATCCTCGACCAGATCGGTCAGTTCTCCGGCGTCGACTTCGTTCCGCCGCTTGACACCACTGAACGGGAACGCTGGTACAAGAAGCATCTCTTCTTCGCCAAGAACGACAAGGAGCAAGAGGAGCTCTCCGCCGCCAGCCACCAACGTTGGACTCGGCAGATGTGGACGACCAACAAGGTGTTCTGCAAAAGGAACGTGCACGCCGCCCACGCCGGAGGTGCGCAGGAGCTAGCCATCGATGGGACGCCGCGCGCCAAGATCGCCGAGCTGGGACATTGGGCGCTCGACAAGATGACGCGTGCGTACATCACGGCCATTCCCGTGGGGGTGGTGATGCGGAAGGCCGGCTACTCGGGATTAAAGCAAGACTACTTCTTGGGGCGCAGCAGGGTCCCGCCTTCCAAAAAACTCCTGGACATCCTCGCCGAGCACATCTTCCCCGGCGTGGATGCTATGCTGCGCGATGTATGTTAAGCGACGCCGACAATGTCATTCAGTTGCCATGGCATAGCTGGCTGCCCAACACCCTACTAACCCACATCACTTGCCGACTTGCAGGCGGAAACGCGTGCTGTCAACGGGAGTGACGCCGACAAAGCCGCTGTGCACTTCTTGCGCACCCTCCTGATGTTCCGACGCATCGTCGCCGAGGACCTCGCGGTGAAGCTCGTCCGCACACCGTGGCACCCGTACGTCCAAGGTTCCAAGCTCTGCCGGATTGCCCTCTTCCAGCACTGGTCGAAGAAGGTCGAGTCCGTCGACACCGAGACGATCAAAAAGCGCCGGGACCCGACACAGATTCAGCCAGAGGTGAGGTGCCGACTTTGTCGTGGTAGCTCAAATACCGGTGAATTCTGAACTATTGTCGCCTTTCCTCATACCATTGCAGGAAATCTCCGTCCGCATGGACACCCAGTATCACAACATGTCCCTCAAGGAGGCGCTGAAGAAGGAGATAGAGCGCTCCGCGCTCGAGAAGCTCGACCTTCACGACAAGATCGAGTTGCAAAACGACACCATCGCGTCGCTCACCGCCGATCTTGCTCGACTCACCGAGGCACTCCGTGTGTCGGACGCACGGAGGATGCCGGCGGCGCCGCCGTCGTCGACCGAGCAAGCTCCGAGCGAGGGTGGCTCAGCGGATTCCGCCAACACGGGGACCGGAGCCAAGAGAGGGGATGCGAAACCCCCGCCACCCCCTCAGACGGCAGAGGAGGCCAGTTACGAGCTCAACGTGGTGCAACCTTGGCGGGAGGCAAAGACCGTGCGGGACGCTTGGCGCCTCTGGAACTCCGCCACCGCCAATAACACCCGTCGTCTTTGCGACAGGGTCGCCGAGCCGGGGTTCATCGACCGCCACACCCTCCTCAACGGCAAGACGCAGGGTGCTCTCAACATGAGGGTGCGCCGCATGCTGAAGGCCATGGATGCGGTGCGCCAGCTACGCGCTAGCGACGGCGACGCCGACACCGAAGCCGTGGTCGATGCACTGAACAAGATCGCGGCACCGGGCATTGGGACCTTCTGCGATGCCCTCACGGTGCTAAACCCGGGAACGGCATCGACGATGTCCAAAGCGGCTGGCATGGGCGTCAAGGGGCTTGCACCCAAGGTGGTCTCGAAGCTCCGTGTCGCCTGTGCGCTGGTGGCGCTCGAGCTGAAGCCGAGGAGTTGGGTCGCCCGCCTGTTTCCAGACACCTGGGAGGAGCAGATGCCGAAGACCGAGGCCGACTTGGCCAAGCAGACCGCACCTGCGCAGCGTCCTCCGACCAAGCGCAAGAAGTCGGCATGAATTCCCCCGGTGATTGAAGTCGGCATGTGTTAGCGTAGGTAGAAGATGCTGTGATTGTGGTCGACTTGATATCGTTCTAGAAGTCGGTGAAAACAAAACGAACTTGTATGAGACTACAATTTTGAATGCGGTCAGTCGCCGACCATCAAACTACCCGCATATACTTTACATTAAACTACATCGGACTGATACATTAACGCCGACATGATTCAGATCGACATCGCAGACCTGCTCGAGTTTCGGCCCGGCGACTGGGCACATTCCCCAAAACGCCGACCATTAAACATCCCGGACTAGCTCATCGCCGAGTATATACATGCATACAGCCGGACGCAGTATGTCGACACCATAGGACGCCGATGTGTTATTCGCCGACGAGGTGCAATTGAGAGGGTAGTGATCAGGTCTGCTTGTAAGAGGAGTGTTCTACTAACATGCATTACCAAAAAGTTACAGCCATGAGAACTACGCAAACAAAACAAAAAGCAATCACAAGGAAAACTACACAATCGACGCCGCCCATACCGGGCCACCCTAGCAGCCAGACCACCATGCTCTCCCTCCTGCCGCCCATGGCAGCGTGTTATGCCGACTACGCCGCCGTGCTGTCCTTGCCCTTCCTGCCCTTCTTCCCCTTCTTCCCCGAGCTGTCCTTGCCCTGCTTGCCCCTCTGCGTGGTGCGCATCGCCTGATGTCTTGTACGCACGATACCCGCCGAGAATCTCATTGAACCTGTCACGCAAACACACGAAACAGGACGACCATTAGAGACCCCGACGTCGACGTCATCACTTGGCCGACGTGTGTCCGACTTACCGTATCCTTGGGAGGAACGCGCCCCGTGCCCATATCACCGTCCACATCCCGGTCGGCAAGACCCTGACCTCCTCCCACACCGACCTCCACTCCTTCATCACGGTTTCCTCCAAGCCGGTGAGCTCGGCCATGAGGATGGGGCTGACGTAACCGTCGTAGAGGAGGTACACAATCGAGTGAAGGTACGCCAGCTCCATCTTGTCTCGCGACTTGCCGATGTATCGACTCTCGTTCCCGACCACCTTAATCTCGCCCACCCACCCTTGCTTGTCGCCCGTGGTGTCGTGGCGGATGCCATGACCCTTCCGTTCTTTCAGCTTCACCTTCTCCTTCTCCTCCTCCTCCTCCTCCTCCTCCTCCTCCTCCTCCTCCTCCTCCTCCTTCTCCTCCTCCTCCTCCTCCTCCTCCACCTCCTCCTCCTCCTCCTCCTCCTCCTCCTCCTCCTCCTCCTCCTTCTCCTTCTCCTTCTCCTTCTCCTTCCCCTTCCCCTTCCCCTTCTCCTTCTCCTTCTCCTTCTCCTTCTCCTTCTCCTTCTCCTTCTCCTTCTCCTTGTCCTTCTCCTCCTTCTCCTTCTCCTTCTCCTCCTTCTCCTTCTCCTTCTCCTTCTCCTTCTCCTTCTCCTTCTCCGTCTCCTTCTCCTTCTCCTTCTCCTTCTCCTTCTCCTCCTTCTCCTTCTCCTTTCCTTTCTCCACCGACTTTGTCGCCGACGTCGCCCGTGTTCTCCTCTGCCTCCCTTTCCCGGTGTCGGCCGTCCCCTTCCGTTTCGCCTTTCCCGCGCCGACAGCAGCAGTGGTTGTCTTTGGCGCCGCTGTACTACCGGGGGGACTCGTCGAGTGCTCCACATGCGCCGAGTCCGAGATGGCCAGAATAGGGGGCTGCTCGGGGCGTTTTACCGCTTCCAACAGGCTCTGGATAGCGTCGATGTCGGCGTCGCGCTGGCTTTTCGCCGCCTGTGCAGGGTCAACGGATCCGCCGCCGGTGGCTAGCGCTGCACTCACGCCCTTCTCCGCCACCTCCTCGACAGTAGCTGCACCGAGTGTGGGTGCAGCCACGGTTACCGACGTCGGCGTCGCGCTTCGGCTGGCTTCCGGCTGAGCCCGTGCTGCCCCTGCCGCGGTACGTGCGCCTAACCGGGCGTGAAGCAAAGCGGACTTTGGGTCCACAGGAGGACGGGCGGCGATGATAGGCGCGGTAGGTGGGGCACTGGACGTTGTGGCGGCGACCTGCGGAGTGCCCGAGCGACGTGCTGTTATGGCCGGAGCGGCACCGACCAAGGGAGGCTGCTGCACGTCCCCGCGATGGGCCTCCATGCGGCGGAGCATGTCCCTGAGCGCGTTCTCCTTTGGGCTGGGCGGACCAGCGCGGTTAGCCGCAGCATCCTCCGCGTCGCCCTTGGCGGCAGACGGGCCTGCTGGCGCTGGAGCTGGAGTAGCCGCAAGGGACGGCCCATCGTTGTTTGCGGCTGACGGGGCGACCGGCGCGCTGCTAGCCGCAGGGGGTTTGCGGGGAATCGACGTGGTCCCCGCCACCCCGACAGGCGGTCCCTTCACGGTTTTGGCGCCGCCATCTATCGCCGTTGGTGCGGTTACTAGACTGTGGGGCTTCTCGGCGACCAATGGCGGGGCTGTTGGTCCAGCCGCTTGAGCGGCAACCTGGTCGGCAGGGCCCTTCTGCGCAGTCCTGATTCCATCGCCCTTGCTGTGCGTCCTTAGCACCATTGCCCCCTTCTTCTTGAGCTGGTCGACCACGCTCGTACCTCCGCTCCCATCGGCACCCTTGCCCCGCGAGCCGCCTGGACCCACCTGGCCGACGCCGCGGCTCCCATCGGCTCTCTTGCTCCGCTTAGGGTTCACGCTCAACGCATCATCTCCGCCGCCCCCCCTTTTATGGCCCTGCTTGTCTGCCTCGTTGGCCGACGGCGACGACCCACGCCGACCAGGCGCCACGTTGCCGATCACCTCGGTCATGAGCTTTAACCCGGACGCAACAAACGACTGCTGGGTGGCCTCAGCCACCGCCTTCAACACTTCCGCCTTGAACGCCTTCATGAGCTCGTCCGGGACGGCTATCGGTGGGGCGGGCGGCGTGGGCGGCGGCATGGCGACGCGTTGAGTTATCGCGGCGGCGATGTTGGTCTGCGCGGCGACTAGGTGCTTCGAAAAGTAGTCCTCCAACCCCTTCCTCGCATCGCCCACCACCGCTTCCACGTGTTTGCCCATGGTGACGACCGCCGTCGTACGTTCCGCCGCCATAAAACCCTGCGGATTCTCGAGATCGTCCAACCAGCTCTCCGCCCGTTCGGCGTACGCCTTCATCGAATCCCATGCTTCACCCATGTCGGCGGTGACTCTCTCCGTGACGGTCGACGCCATGGTCAAGGACACGTCCATCAGCCGACTTGCCGCGTCCGCGTCGGAGGCGGCGACCTGGTCGGCCAACGACTTCAGCTTGTCCACGAGGCCGCCTATCCCCAACGCGAAACTGTCCACCCGACCCCTCTCCACTCCGAGCGCCGTCTCCAGACGAGCATTCTCAGCCCTCAACCACCTGTTCTCCTGTCGCAGCTGCACGACGACGTTGCCCGGCGGTGCCTGCTGACCAGCTGCTGAGGAACCGGGTTGACGGCCCGCCTCTACCGCTCCACTCCGGCGTTCCACCCCGGCGTTCCCTGCGGTGGGCTCCACGCCCGTCTGCATCGGGGCCGCGGCGTCGTCCTCCACCTCCGCGTCGCCAACCACAATGCCCACGTGAGCCTCCTCACCGCCGACTTTCTCCACGTCGGCATCCTCCCCTCCCTCGTACACACCATCCGCCGACCTCCCACCCGTTCCCTCCACGGCCGCCGCCGCCGTGGCCTCCAGGGCCGCCGCCGCCGCCGCTCCCTCCAGGTCCTCGGGATCGAATTCGACCCACGGGAACACCACCACCTCCTCCCCCACTTGCTGCTTCTCCCCCGACTCCTCCACCACCACCAGCTCCTCCTCCTCCTCCTCCTTCTCCTGCCCCTGCTCACGCTCCTCACGCTCCTCCTCATTATCATCCTGATCCTCGGTGTCCTCCTCCTCCTCCTCCTCCTCCTCCTCCTCCTCCTCGTCCTTCTCCTGCCCCTGCTCACGCTCCTCACGCTCCTCCTCGTTATCATCATGATCATCGGTGCCATCCTCCTCCTCCTCCTCCTCCTCCTCCTCCTCTTCCTGATCCGCGGTCCGCGCCACCGCCCTTCCTGCCTCTTCATCTGCCTTGTCGACGCCGCCTCCGGCCTCTCCTCTGGTGTCGGCGACACCGACTGCTTGGGATGCCGAAGGGAGCTCCGCGGCGTCGTCGTCACAGGCGTCGGCACCCAGTCCGACATGGCCCGACCGTTTGCGAGCGACGTGTTCCTTGATGAATGTGATCATCCTATTCCGCAGCTCCTTCAACCCCGAAACGAGGATCTTGTCCATGCTGGTCGCCCTTCGACGGTCGGCGCCGGTCAGGCGATCCATCCTCTTCACCACCCAGCACAGCGCGCTCATTGATAGGAGGCCAGAGCCCGCATCGCTGTCCCGGACGGTGTCGCGCACTTTCTGCACGCAACAGTCCAGGGCATACAACACATTCTGCATCATTCCGAAGTCGGCAATGGCATCGCGCAAGGACGGTAAAACGATCGGAACTCACATCTCGAACGGGTTCATCGCAGTCGGCGAGCCTGTCCTCCACCTCTTCATCAGAAGGCTTCGGCCACTCCCACTGCCTACCCTCGCGGCCGAGCTCGGCCAGGACCGCCGCCCGGAAAAACCTGAAGCAACATGGCACATTTCGTCAGTACGTTTGTGAGCTCAGCGGCGTCGACTACACACTATCGAGCTCACTTCAGCACGCGGATCGCCTCGTCGCGGTGCCACTGCTTCACTGTCTGCGGGTCAAAGTGCCGGACCGAGGTCCTGATCGTCTCCCCCCCGGCCGGCAACAAGTCGCCGGGGTACAGGATGACCACGACGCTGCAATGTGCTCCTGGAAGCGGTGCGATGCTGCACAGGCAAAACACCACGACGTCGTTCAGAACGTAGCACCGACATGGGGTGCATGGCACACCATCATGACTTCGAACCGACTCACCTCGAATGCAGGGGGATAACAGCTACGTCGGCGTCGAAAACCGTAGCAAAGCATGCGTGGTCTTCCTGGCCCATCGCCGCCCGAAGCACGCCGATTCCTATCGACCACAATCGCATGTTGGCCGGCGCCGCGCGACTCCATGCGTGCCTGCACGCATGCATGGGTAGTAGAGGTGATTGAGGAGGTGCAATGCACGACGGTGGACACGTGGGTTCTGGAACCGACAACTGACGGGGATGGCGATAGTACGACGGGGCACCACCGTCGCGACGTTGTAATCAATGGCACCGACCGATGCGGGCACCGACCTACTGTAGTAATGTAATCGGAGTCCGGTGCCTACACCGACCTACGGCTGTGTGCCTCATCGAGTAGTGGTCTAAACCCTAACAACGTCAACCAAGACGTGGGACAACCCTAACAACGTCGACCTGCAATGTATCCAGAAGTCGACGCCGACATCCCAATACGGACACTCACTTGAGGCCGAATCCCAAGCAACGGGCGTTGAACTCTAGCCTATGGTCTACGAGGACGGCGTAGTCGTGTTCCTCGAGATAGGAAGTGAGTCCACTACCCAGGTCGAGATACAGAGGGAAGTCCTGCGAAGTCGGCGTCACCTCGCCGACTTTCTGGTCGGCCGCCATGACGGGGAAGGGAAGCGGCTACAGGCTAAGGGACGTGAATGTGGGAGAAGGCGCAGAGCTGCGAAAAAAATGGAAAGGTAAACGAGATCCCGAAAATGAGGAGCGATGCCCCCTTCCACCAAGAAAAGGGGGTCGGTGCTCGAGGTGCCTGGCTCGGCAGGGTTTGGCGGGCTCGTGCACAAGTGGCACAAGTTCTCATTCGCCGCCGAGCCAGCAAGTCGATGTCACGTCCCCTGGCCTCGGTCGGCCATGGGACGCAATTTCGCATGCGCGCGGGGCATCCGACACGTGTCGACTTCGCACCGGATCGCGAAAAATGTGCGCCGCGAAGCGATCGAAATCGATTTCGCAACGTCAGAAATTCTGCATGTACCCGATGCGAACCCACGGGCGAACACGTGGCGACACCGCATCGGATCGCGAAATTGTCGATCGTCCCGAGGGGTGCACCCGAATTTCGCCGGGCCCTCGCCTGCCCGGCCGGGCAGGTCGCGAGGGTTACTAGGCCTTCGCGGGCAACATGAACGCGAGGGCTGCCTTCGCGCGAGGGTTACTTTCCCTCGCGCGAGGGGTCGCCAGCTCGCCGACCCCACCCGGTAACGTGGGTCGCTGTTCACTTTCGGAGCGGGGCTGCGGGGCGGCGGTCGTGCGCTCGGCCCAGCCCTGGGCCAGGCTGGCGGGCCCGCACGCGCGTCAGTCGCCCGCCTCGTCAGGCCCGGCTCCGACGACCCCCCTCGACGACACAGGCAACTCGGCTCCGACGACCGATTTGCGCTGGGATGTTCGGGTGTGTGCATGCCATGTGGTGCATTTCATAAGGAATGAAACCACGTGCAGTGCGGTGAATGGAGAGGCCGAATTGCCTTTGTCAATTGTCAAAATTGTCAAAATGTAGCGCTGTACACGGGGCACAAAATTGTCCCAGTCTGAAACCAAGCCAGAAATATGGCATTCTGCAAGACGACTGCACAACTGTGCGGGCAGCATAGGAAAAAGGTACAGCTTATCACCGAGAAGAATCCAGCTTGTCACAGGAATCTCCTCCGCAGCGACTTCGCTTCCGCACTGACAGCGTCATCCGCGCAGGTGAAAACTCTTTTTGCTTCCCCCCCTCTTGAACTCCCTTCGCCTCGCAAAAAAGGATCCCATCAAACCCCATCCCATCCCATCCAATCTCATTTAATCCCATCCCATCTCATCCCATCCCATCTTCCAACCCATTTTCCATCCCAACCAAAAATCTCCCTCTTCCTCCCTCACCCTCCCTCTCCTCCTCCTCACCCCTTGGCCATGCCATTCACTCCTCACCCCTTCATATATCTGTCGGCTGCTAGGGTCTTCCTTGGTAACCTGGTCGGTGTCCCTTCATCCCAAACCCAAACATAGCGACGCGACTCACGCCTTAGAGAAGCACCAAGCATGGTCTACAGCTGCATGAATGCGCGTATCATGCGCCATCGGGGCCTGTTGGGACCCCCGAACCGGAACGGAGCGCAGGTATCCAGTCCGATTGCCTCGCGTCGCATGAGTCGATCACCAGCCACAGGCAGGTACTCCCACTGCACCGCGCATGTCACAGCGAGAAAAGCTCCGCCAGTATAGCAAATGGGGGGAGGGGAGGCCCTAGCGCTGCGCGAACCAAACACTGTTTGGCGGTGATAAGTGAATGTAATGCGGAAGAAAGGCGGGCACTGAGCTTTTCAGCACACTCGCTCAAAAGTCGGCGCAAGATTCACTCATCGTCCCAGGCCTTCCCAGGTGCCTCAAAGCGGCGGACGTTGACTAATGAGAATCGAGCTTCACAAAGCGTCCCATCCCAGCCTCTCTTTTTTGAGCCGACTCAAACGGCAGCAGCAAATGCGGAAGAAAGGCGCATGAGTCATGAGGCACACTCGGCCCAGAGCCTCCCAGCGTGTAATTTAAGCCGACTCAGAACAACACACCGGAAAAGAATGCGCTTGATTCATGAAAGACGCTCAACAATCTCCTTTTCTAGGGCTTCACTCGCCATCGCTTCCCCCACGAACCGTTGTTCCCACGAGCTTACGGTGCTGGTTCCCGCAGTTGAAGCAGTAATTCCCTGCAGTTGCGGGTAGCAAGAATCCATACTGCTTCGGATACTGCTAGTTTTGAAGAGCTTCTATAGCAATGGCGGAGCGCAGTTTAGTGGCTACTACCACTGCGAGGTCATGGCGGTGATGTGGGTGGTGCGCGCTGGTGCTTGCGCTGCTCCTCGTCGCGAGCCATAACGGTCACGACAGCGGCGCGATTGGCGTGCGCGCGAGCAAACTGGGAGTCGAGCGACGGAGGCGGGCGGATCGAATGCTGCAGGTTCAAGTGAGATCCCTTTGATTAGTAGAGCCGACTTAGTACGATGAGTCAATTACTGAGGCGCTTAAAAAATAAATGGGGTCGAGCGACGGAAGCGGGTGGATTGGCTGCTGCAGGTTCAAGTGAGAGCCCTCCATGAATCGACTTAGAGTTCAGAAGCGCCTCAAACTTGCTGTAGGCTCAAGTGAGAGCCCCCCTTCATTCATGGACCACTTTAGATTCTTGAGCCGCGTTGAAACTTGAGGCGCCTCAAAACTAGCTGCAGGCTCAAGTGAGAGCCTTTGATATGTCGAATAGTGATTTGAGGCGCCCTGAAACTTCCTGGATGCTCAACCCCCTGAGAGCCTTTCATGGCGCCCTGAAACATTTGAGGCGCCTCAAAACTAGCTGCAGGAGCCTTTCATGGGTCATACTAGAATCGACTTACAATGAGTATATTTTTAGGCGCCTTAAAAAGAGCGACGGAGTCGACCTACAATGAGTCGAGCGACGGAAGCGGCGGATCTGCTGCTGCAGGTTCAAGTGAGAGCCCTTCATGATGGAATGGGGTCACTTGAGAGTCTTTTAGGCGCATTCAGAACTTGGGACGCCTCACAACTTGCTGCAGGCTCAAGTGAGCCTCCCTTCATGGGTCGCTCTAGACTTTTTCGGCGCCTAGGCGCCTCAAATCCTGCTGCAGGCTCAAGTGAAAGCCCCTTCACGGGTCACTCTAGAGTCTTGAGTCGCGTTAGCAACTTCTTCTTCTGAGGCGGCTTAAAACGCTGCAGGCTCGGGGGAGAGCCCTCCATGGGTCACTTAGGAGATGACATCAAATGACGAGGCGGATCAGCGAGTCGAGTGAGGGTTGGTCGACGATTAGTACGCCAGGAGTCACGGAAGTTAGTAGTTGTGTTAGTTAGTGGTCTCCCGGGGTTGACAAACGGGAATCCTTTCGTCCCGTTCCGAGAGTCATCACGAAAGATTGGTTCAGGAAGCGAGATCGGAACACTTTGGGGGTCAATTAGTACTACTACTAGAGGTAATGCCATGTCATGTGAACTATCGTTCACTTTGAGACATCTTGAAAACCACCACAATAGAGCTAACGTCATCATGTCATGTCATGTTATGTCATGTGAACTGGTGTTGCTCAGCCAACCAAGGTACCTGGACTTCTGGGGACGTCTCTGGAGGCGCTTTTGAGCCAACTTTGAGTTTGTCTCAAAATAAATAAATGAAAAAAGTACTAGACGCTTTGTGCATGCATATTAAGGTGGAGAACTGCGCGCATCTCAGTTGCGCAGCGCAGCTGCCGTATCCCGCATAATCATTCGCCACGCACAGTTGTCGTCCGTTCCATAACTCGCGAACATTGGAACTTAGGGTTTTTCGATCGGATCGCTGGTCGTGGGTTTCCGTGGGTTCATGATTAGATCTACGCAGAAGGAGAAAAAACAAGCGAGCAAGCAAAGAAACAAAGCGTTGGAGGGCTGTCGTGTGCGTGGAGGGAGAACGTCTAAATACCAACTGCATATTCTTGCGCGTAAGACGCTCGGAGATGAGAACACTAGGGTCTCACAAACTCACAGTTTGTGAAGATGACTAGGGCAAACCATGCCTCAAATGAGGCGGTGGGCATCATGGTTTGCCGCAGAACGCGTCATTTGGCTCGCCCGGACAGATTCGTTCGGGTTCTGTGCTCATTCTCAGAATGGGTTTCAGGCCGTGATGATGGTCGAATTCGATCGAATGGGATCAGATTGGATCGGATCGGATCGGATCGGATTGGATGTGGCAAATTCAACGTTCAGAGGTCGTATGTATGTTACGATAGTGTGCCTCGTTGCGTGTCCGTTGGATGATATGTTAGGACGTGCGCTGCTAGTTCTCGGTTCTATCCGCCTTTTAAAAGCTACCTTGCTTCACAATCCTCAGGATCTAGACTGCTTTCCTCCTGCCTCATCGTTTCATTTCTTCCTTGCCTTCCTTCCATCACGGTGACCTTTGAGTCGACTCAAAAGTCACCTCTTGCCCGTTTAGCTATCTCTGCACTGTAGCCCTTCCAGCCGTGAGTCACGATGTTGCATGCCTCTTTGTGTGCCCCCTTGCATGCCCCCTTGCGTGCGTCCTCTGTGCTTGCATTTATCCGCTGTTTTTTCCTCTCTCCCTACCTCACCACACCACCAACCAACCAGGTGAATAGGATGCTGGCGTCGTTCGAAAGAAATGCTGACGTGGCGTCGCTGACTCAGAAGCAGACGACATGCTCGTGCTACCGCGTGCGCAATGATTATTGCTGCCACCAATACATCTGCAAGTGCTCGCCCATGTGCTGGAACGGCTACCAGGTAAATGCGGCCATACCTCTCTCTGCCGTACTGCCAATCAGCACGGTGGTTACCACAATTGCTCACACCAGTACGTGTGCAAATGCTCGCCCATGTGCTGGAACGGCTATCAGGTAAATGAGGTTATCAGATAAATAAGGTTATCTGCCAGTTTATAAGACGGTTCATGCTACTCCCTACCAGCACTGTGGTTAGGTCCCTCCCACTGCTGCCACCAGTATATGTGCAAATGCTTGCCCAGGTAGATGAGGCTTGTAAGGCCGTCAGGCTTGTAAGGCCGTCAGGCTTGTAAGGCCGTCAGGCTTGTAAGGCCGTCAGGCTTGTAAGGCCATCACCACCCCAACCCGGCCAGCCACCCGCCCTCGTTCTGGGGAACTGCTGGTCAGTTCGACTGTCCCCACTCCCGTGCCTTCCCCGCCAGCTGATATCTCTGGGTCAGCCCAAGTGAATGCCAGCCACAGAGCACGCACCACCTCAACTCGGACACCCTTCTTCATCCCTCTTAACCCCTCCCCGCCAGCTCATCTCTCTGGGTCAGCCCAAGTGAATGCCAGCCACAGAGCACGCACCGCCTCAACTCGGCCAGCCACCTGTGCTCACCCCGGTGGACTGCTGCGCACTCCCACGTTCACCGACGCCCTCTCCAGCTTCTTTGCTGAGACGTCCCACACCCTTGTTTCCCTCTGCTTCCCCCTGCTCCCCCCTGCTCCCCCCTGCTCCCCCCTGCTCCCCCCTGCTCCCCCCTGCTCCCCCCTGTTGCCCCGTCTCCCCCATGTTTACCCCTGCTTCTCCCACCAGCTCATTTCTCTTGGCCAACCAAAATGCGCACCAGCAACAGAGCACGTGCCGCCCCTCCCCGGCCAACCCCCCGTGCTCACTCCGGTGGAATGCTCTGATCAACAGACGTTCAGAAACGCTATTTACAGCTTCTTTGCCGAGACGTCTGAAGAGAGCCTGGGCGTGCGGAGCGCAGGGAAAGGGGGAGGCGGAGGGGGAGGGGGAGGAGGAGGCGGAGAGGGGGGTGGGGAAGGGTGGTTGGGGAGCCGTGACGGGGTGGACTGGCGGTTTGGGACGACCATGCTGCAGACGTTTAACAAGACCGAGACCAACATTGCACACTTCTCTGGTGGGTGGGGTGGGTGGCATCATAGTCTCTTATTAGTCATGTCACTATGGGTCGGCCTGACCATGCTGCAGACGTTTAACAAGACCGAGACCAACATTGCACACTTCTCTGGTGGGTGGGTGGGGGGAGGGGACCTTTGGTTCATGGTGGTATGGAGGTGGGGGGTATCTGAGTGGCTTGTTAGTCACCTCACTTGGGACAGACCATGCTGCAAACGTCAACAAGGGCGAGACCAACATCGCACACTACTCTCTGGTGGGTTGGGGGTGGGGGGAGGGGACCATTGGTTCATGGTGGTATGGAGGTGGGGTCGACGATGCTGCAGGTGTTCAACAACTGCGAGACCGACATCGCACGCTACTCTCTGGGGTTTGGCTGTTAAGTTATAACAGCAGTAGGTAGCACCAGCGTGACACTGCGATGCTGGTGGCTCTGATTGGTGGCTTTGGATCCTCCTAGATTTGGGCTTTTAAGCGCGCTATGCTTTGGGGTCCTGACTCTCGAGACGTCTGAGAAGTTGTGAGACGTTTCGAACCTCGGTTTGGGCTTTTCAGCGCACTATGCTGGTGGGTATGGATGGTGCGACTTTTGAGAATTCTCAAAAGTCACACCAATATAGCTGCACTATGCTGGTGGGTATGGATGTGCCATTGAGCTCTCACTCGACCTGCTCTCCTCTCCTCTCCTCTCCTCTCCTCTCCTCTCCTCTCCTCTCCTCTCCTCTGCTCTCCTCTGCTCTCCTCTGCTCTCCTCTCCTCTCCTCTCCTCTGCTCTCCTCTGCTCTCCTCTGCTCTCCTCTCCTCTCCTCTCCTCTGCTCTCCTCTGCTCTCCTCTCCTCTCCTCTCCTCTGCTCTGCTCTCCTCTCCTCTCCTCTCCTCTCCTCTCCTCTCCTCTCCTCTGCTCTCCTCTCCTCTGCTCTCCTCTCCTCTGCTCTCCTCTGCTCTCCTCTGCTCTCCTCTCCTCTCCTCTCCTCTCCTCTGCTCTCCTCTGCTCTCCTCTCCTCTGCTCTCCTCTGCTCTCCTCTCCTCTGCTCTCCTCTGCTCTCCTCTCCTCTGCTCTCCTCTGCTCTCCTCTCCTCTCCTCTCCTCTGCTCTCCTCTGCTCTCCTCTCCTCTGCTCTCCTCTCCTCTCCTCTCCTCTCCTCTCCTCTCCTCTCCTCTCCTCTCCTCTCCTCTCCTCTGCTCTCCTCTGCTCTCCTCTCCTCTGCTCTCCTCTGCTCTCCTCTCCTCTCCTCTCCTCTGTTTCGTCACGACTCTGCGCTGCTGGGTCCAGCCAGATTGGAGGAGCCTCCCAGCACAGTGTGATACACAGAAAGCCCTCCTCACAGCACTCCTGCTTGCTCGCCAATAGCTTCATGGCTCATTTTCGGTCGACTCCAAAGCCCCCTCCTCCTCTTCCTCCAAACCTCATGGCCAACAATTTCACGGCACCCGCTGCCCTGCAATCCAGAGTGACTCACTTTGGCATTAAGAATGCCACCCCAACCTCCCTCTTCCTCCCAACTTCCCCACTTCTTCCCCCTTTTCCCAAACCTCTCAACCTCCCTTTCTGCAGAGAAGGTCCTCACACTCCTCCTGGCCAATAACTTCACAGCACCCGCTGCCCTGCAAACCACTGTGAATCGCTTCATGCTGCCTCGAGGAGAGATGTTCATTGAACGGTGAGTAGCATGGGGGTTGTGGCAAGGTGAGTAGCCTCAAAAGTGGTTACATGCTGTTTTGAAGAGAGGCTTTTGAAGCTGGTTTCAATATTTATCCATCGTAGAAACAGCAAAACGTAGATTGCCTTGCATGTTTTCCCTAAACCCGAAACCATCTTGAACATTCCGTCCGTCCGTCCGTCCGTCCGTCCGTCCGTCCGTCCCTCCCTCCCTCCCTCCCTCCCTCCCTCCCTCCCTCCCTCCCTCCCTCCCTCCCTCCCTCCCTCCCTCCCTCCCTCCCTCCCTCCCTCCCTCCCTCCCTCCCTCCCTCCCTCCCTCCCCCCCCTCCCTCCCTCCCTCCCCCCCTCCCTCCCTCCCTCCCCCCCTCCCTCCCTCCCTCCCTCCCTCCCTCCCTCCCTCCACCCACCCAAGCGCAAAATTCGAACGATGGGTGCAGACTCGATGATCGCACGGCTGATGGAGGCGAGATTATAATTGTTTTTTTAGCCAACTCAACAATTTCCAAAGCCCTAACCTTTGCACCTTCCATCCACTCTGTATGCAGATTGCGAACGATGGGTGCAGACTCGATGTTCGCACGGCTGTTGACTCGATTCCAAAGCCATAAGCCCTCCTGGACCTTCCATCCGTTATTCCATCCATCCATCCATCCACTCTGTGTGCAGATTGCGAACGATGGGTGCGGACTCGATGTTTGCACGGCTGATGCAGGCGATGGTGGAGTTCGCAGTCACGCCCATACTCTCCTCTCGCATCCACAACTCCCCACAACTGTACGTTGTCAACCTTTCAGCAAAGCAATAGGCCACTGCACTCAGATGTCACGAGTTGGGTGCTTTGCACTCTATTTCGCAGTCACGCCCGTACTCTCCTCTCGCATCCACAACTCCCCACAACTGTATGTTGTCGAATTGGCAGTAGAAGCAAAGCAAGCACACAAGGAGTGTGAGCGAGCACAAAAGGGAAAGCCACACTCCAGTAGGTTATTTATCCCACGCACATGACTTTTCCACTCAGAGTTGGCTGTCACGCCCATACTCTCCTCAACTGTATGTTGTCGACCCGAAATGACAGCAAGGCAAAGCACGCAAGGTAAGTCACACTCAACTAAGAATGTCACCCCACTGTGGTATACGGGCAGTTCAACGCTTCTCATAAACAGTGTCTCTCTCTCCTCCCCCCACTTTCACCCTCCCCCCTCAACCACACCAGCCTCGCGCACAGAACACTAGGAGATGCACCCATGGCATTCGGCCTAGTTGAGTTTGAATCCGCATGGAACGCTGCCACTGAAGACCGCCCCCTCTGCTTCGAAAACCTCCTCCTGCCGGGGTTCTTCAAGGGAGTGGCGTTTCCTTCCCACCCCGACCAAGCCACCTACCTGGACCGGCACCTGAGGATCAAGCTGGGGTTGGAACCTCCGGAGAAAGTGGTGTGGGGGGCGGATTGGGTGAAGGGGTGGCGGCCGCGTGTGCTGTATATCACGCGGCTGGGAGCCGAGTTGAAGGGTCGCCGATGCTTCGTGCCGGAGAGCCATGAGGCGCTGCTGAGGCTCATGGAGAATTTGGACCTTCAGGTGGGTTTCAGGTGGTTCAAATGGTTCAGATGGTTCAGATGGTTCAGGTGGGTTTAAGGTGGGTTTCAGGTGGGTTTTACGTAACCAATGTCGAGTTGGGACATCTGATGTTCATCTTCCAACTTCTTCATCTGTTTTTTTTCTTGTCTTCCTCTTCATCCATCCACACGCACCTCTTCTGCAGGTCACCATGGTCGAGATGGGCCATCTGACGTTCCCCCAGCAGTTCGAAGCAATTCAATCAGCAGACATCATCATCTCCCTCCACAGCGCTTCATTCATGAACGTGCCGCTCTTCGCCCGACGCAACGTCGTCGTGATCGAAATCATGCCCTACAAGGTGGTTCACGACTTGTACTACTCGCTAACTCTCAACTCAGGCATTCCGTATTTCCTCAAGATGTGTCGCCAAGGGGATGAGCAGGAGAGGGATGCGGATTTCAAGGATTTGAACTCATTTGATTGCATGCGCAAGCATGCAGCGTGCAAGGCGCACCATGTTCACTTTCGGAGCGTGAAACTCACGGACCGGGATTTACAGGACTTGAGAACGATGCTGATGGTTGCAAAGGGTGTGGTTGGTGCGAGCTTGGGGGCGTTTGGGAGGGAGCTTCAGCCTGACGAGCTGCCCGGGTGGGC